GATTCTGTGAGGAATGGGGCTGCCTCCTCCCTACTGTCAGGGTCTGGTTTGAAGGCCAGCCACGCCCCCTGTTGGGCCAGACCCAGAGTTCTACCATGCCGTGGCCTCCACCTCAGCAACCCAGGGCTGACTGTTGCTGGGTGCTCCTGGCGCTGCGAGGGTGGGTTCTTCCCTCAGGCCTCGCGGGAAACAGCTCGGGGAGGGCGCAGCCCTTGGCAAGGCAACCTAGGACTCAGTATTCCACTCTCCGCTCCGAGGGCAGGTTCCTGCCTGAAACCTCGCCCACCGGGAAACAGCTGGGGGAGGGTGCAGCCGTTTCCAAGACAACCCCTGCAGGACTGACTGACTTCCAGTTGGTTGCACCTGAGGTCATGATGTTATACCCAGGGTTTTTATATAAGTAGATGCTTTCCAGACTTATAGACAGGAAGAGCCTTGGTCGTATCTCTTGAGTTATAGGGTAGTTTTAGTAGTGAGATTCCTTGGATTTAGTGGTTTAAAAAGAAATTTAAATAATGAAAGCCTATCAGTTCCATGCAATTAAGTAAATATTAAATGTAACCTAGTTTATTTTTAAAATGAACAAGACTTCGTAGAAGGGATTCTAGGTAATTTTGCTGCCCAAGTTGTAATAATATTAATGTGTATAATGTCTGAGATGGTTAAATGGTTAAATTCTGAACAAATTGAGTTTTGAAATGATAGTTTTCTTGCTGAACCTTTAAAATAATCTTCTCTAGTCTCATTCTGATGGATAGTTAAACCCTCTCCCCACCCCCTTTAATAAATAAAAATCCTCAAGCCCAGCCAGCGTATCTCAGTGGCTGGGCATCAACCTATGAACCAGAAGGTCACAGTTCAATTCCCAGTCAAGGCACATGCCCAGGTTGCGGGCTCGATCCCCAGTGGGATTTGCAGGAGGCAGCTGGGCAATGATTATCTCTTATCATTGATATTTCTTTCTCTCTCTCTCTCTCCCTTCCTCTCTGAAATCAATTTTTAAAATATATTTTAAGGAATAAATAAATAAATAAATCCTCAAAACAAAATCAGGAAAGAAATAAGTGGTAAACCAAGGGATAATGACCTTTTAAATATATTTTTCTTTTGAAGGAGTTATGCTGAGGGCAATTTATATCTGTCTCACTAGGTTACTAAATATAGATTGAAGATATGTTTCAGAAGGAAAATGTACCTAAAACAATGAATTGTCTTATGAACAAATCTGTAAAGATAAAGAAGAGCTATAAGAAATGAATATACATAGAAATAAAATTAAGTGTTTCTAAGTTGTACAGTTTTGAGAGAAAAAGGAATAATTATAAATGATATAATAGAATATTTTAGATAAAAATATGTTGAAAGTGATTTTTCAAGATGGTTCTTAATCTTGAGCTAAGGAAATGTGAAGAGTGGTAAATTGATCTGTTTATAATAAACCTTTTAATTAGTAAGAAAATTAAGATGATGTTTCTAACTAGTACAACAGAAAAACTTGAGATGATAGTTTATTCCTTTATGCAAAAAAAATGGAAGAGGTAGAACTAAAGCAGTAGCATAATTTTATCCATTCTATCATAATTTTGTGTATCTTTGGTTCTTTGTTAGGAAACACTGCATTGACTTATGCCTGTGCTGGAGGATTTGTTGACATTGTGAAAGTGCTACTTAATGAAGGTGCAAATATAGAAGATCATAATGAAAATGGACATACCCCTTTAATGGAAGCAGCCAGTGCAGGTCATGTGGAAGTTGCAAGAGTTCTTCTAGATCATGGGGCAGGCATCAACACTCATTCTAATGAATTCAAAGAAAGTGCTCTTACACTTGCCTGCTACAAAGGTACTCTATATATGTATGGCTAGGGTTTTTTAAAATAACAACTTTGAATATTTGAGTATTGAGTATGTGATTTAATTTTATATTGCTTATGTTTTCCCTGTACTATAAAATTATCTAGCTTACACCAGATTATATAGAAAGTACATTTTAGCCTTTATTTCCTGAAGTTAAGCTTTACAATGTATGTTTCTTTTGTATTTTAATTCAAATTTATTCAATTAGCTATAAAGTCAACCAACTCTTAGCACAGATTTAGAGGGTTTCCATTCTTTAATGACTTTTGTTTTATATGATTTTCCCAGCCTTTATTTAACAGATAATTCACACTCAAATAATATAATAATCACACTTGATTCAAAAACCTGAAAAACACAGAATAGCATAAAGAAAAGAAATTTTATAATGGCAAGTATATTTGTAAGCAAATGTATATATACAGGCATACCTCGGTGATATTCCATTTCAGATAACCGTAATGAAGCAGTCTCTCAATAAAGTAAGCTGTAATCTTTTTGCAGGTGGAGGGTCTTGCCTTTAATTTATAAAAAAAAAAAAAAAATGCAACATCTGTGAAGCGCAATAAGACATGGTATGCCTGTATTTTTAAATTAAACAATCATACTCTAACACTATTTTGTAGTCTGCTTATTTTATTTAGCAGTACATCATGAACATTTTGCCATCTCAATATTTTTGTAATACAACTTTTGATGGTTACATTGTATTTCACTATTGCATTTAGTAGTGGATTTGGCTGCAAAACCTAAATTAAAAGTAATCTGAACAAAAGAGAAGCCTTTTCTCTTTTATTTAAAATAAATCCAGGGGTGGGCTGTCTAGGACTAGTATGGCAGTTTTATTATTATCTAGATCTCAGCATTCTAATTTTCTGTTTCACCATCCTAGTATCTGGTTTTTATCCTCAATGTTGCCAAGATGGTAGCTATGGCCCCAGCAATACATAGTCTAGGAAGGAGGAAGAGGATAAGGGCAAATTAGGGATGCCTTCCAATTTATTAAGCTACCTTTAAGAAATTTTCCTAGCAGTTCTTCCATATAGCTAGCTCCCACTTACATTTCATTGGCCACACATAGCAACAAGGGAGGCTGGGAAATGTAGTCTTTTAGTCAGGCAAATTGCCACTCAGATAAAAATCAGAGTTCTGTTATTAAGGAATATTTGAGAGAATGGATATTGAGTAGGGAACTAGCAGTCTCTGTCAAATACATCCAATGGATGCACCATAATTGCCTATTTTTGGACATAGGAATTGTTCCCAGTTTTTCACTACTATTAAAAACACTGAGATAACATCCTTGTGCAGACATCTTTGCCTAATCTCTGATTATTTCCTTAGGCTAAATTCCTGGAAGTAGAATTACTGGGTCAAAGGGTATGGGCATTTTTAACCCTTTGCGGTCCAATTTTATTTTTGGAATTCAAACAGTCTGGTTCAAATTAATTGACGGGATTGAATGTTGAACCGGTTTGCGGTGTCGACCTCAGCCTCGACGTTGGACCTGCTACTAGCGCCTGGTCTGTCGAGTCAGCCTCGACGTTGGACCGAAAAGGGTTAAGGCTTTTGATACATATTGCCAAATTGCTTTCTAGAAAGGTTGAACCAATTTATACTCCCACCAGCAGTGTTTGAGAGTGCCCTTTACCTTATCCTATACCCTCACCAACACTGGGTATTATCATTCTTCTTAATATTTGCCATTTTGGTAGTAAAAAATGGTGTGTCGTCTTAATTTGCATTTGTTTAATAGGAAGGTTTAATATTTTTTCATCAAGTTTAATATTCATGAAGTTTAATATTAATTTGCATTATTTTACATTACCATTTTATGTCCATCCATTTTTCTACTGGAATGTTTGTCTTTTTCTTATTGACACTTAAGGTTTTTTTAATATTAAATGTATCAAGAAGGTTGAAATTATTTTGATGGAGTTTTCATTCCCAAAGTGAGTTTATGGTTATTATTTTAAAACTGTTTTTCTGAAAAATGATCCAAACATAGCTGGCATTTTATTTGATTTCAGTGTTTTGATTTGATAGTTTATATAGATTAAATAAAAGAATAAGTATTATTACTTCATTTGAATTATGTGCTTTGGACTAATTTGCTTTTAAAAACCTAAATACCTTGCTGAAAGGCTGCTTATTATTTTGGATTGGTTTTCTAAAACTGTCATTGATTTATTCAATGCAAAATTTTTGTATAGATATCTGAAAGAAAAAGAGTTCCCATTTTAATACTTTATATTAAATTGATACTCAATTCTTTAGAAATATAGTTTTAAAATTTGTGTTCTTTTTTGAAGGCCATTTGGATATGGTTCGCTTTCTACTTGATGCTGGTGCAGATCAAGAGCACAAAACAGATGAGATGCACACTGCCTTAATGGAGGCTTGCATGGTAATTTTAAATTGCACTCACTTAAGATTTTGGGGGAAGAAAAGGTCATGTTTGTTTAACTCTTTAAGGATTAATTTTATATTTTTAGAAAAATATTTATTATGACATCAGTAGATTTTTTAAATTTTGACAATACTAAAGAGGGAAAGGGAAATATCTATTTTATTTACCTTTTGATAGTAAATCTCTCAATTTAGGAAACAGTACAAAAGTCAGTCTTGACTGTGTTATTTCCAACTCACCGATACACTTTTTTTATTTTCCCCCCCATTTTTTTTTAATGTGGTAAAATACACAACATAAAATTTACCATCTTAACTATGTCTTCTTCATGGATTAATCCTTTTATTATTTATAAAGTCTGTATCTCTGGTAATTTTCTTTGTTCTGAGGTCTGCTTTATCTGATTATTAATAGTAGCTACGCCTGCTTCCCTTTGATTAATGTTTGCCCACTAAATTTTTTTTCCTAACTTTGATATGTTTGATCTGCCTCTATTATTATACTGAAGTGAATTTCTTAATTGGTTTGTTTAGACCATTTATATTTAAATATAAATATTGTTATGGTGTTTTTATATTCTGGTTCTATGTTGAAATTTATTTTTTTATTTTTTTGAAATTTATATTTTTATCTGTTTTCTCCATTTTTTAAATCTATTTTCTGTAATTTATCATTAATAGTTATTTTGAAGTCTTTTTCTGTTAACTCTTATCTTTGATTCAGTTCTGGATCTACTTTTATTGGTTATTTTATATCTTGATGATTAGTCACTTTTTCCTGCCTCTTAATATGTCTAGTATTTCAATTGTAAACCATATACTGTGAATGATACCTTTTATGTTCTGGATCATCCTGTCTTTTTAAGACTGTTAAGTTTTGTTCTAGCAGGCAGTTAAATTACCAGTGGATCACTCTGATCCTATTGAGGCTTAATTCCAGCTTTACTCTTACTCCTTAGTCCTTACTCTTTGATCCTAGAGTAAGGGATTCTAGGTCCTACTTCTACTGTATGGCCTTCTATGATCTCAACTGATAGCCTAGGATATTCACCAAGGTCTTTTTTTTTTTTTTAATCCTCACCGAGGACATGTTTATTTTCTTGATTTTAGAGAGGATGGAGGGAGAGACATTGATATGAGAGAGAAACATCAATCCGTTGTCTTGTATATACACACCCCGACTGGGGATCGAACCCCCAACCTTTTGGTGTACGGACAACGCTCTAATCAACTGAGCTATCTGGCCAGGGCTCACCAAGGTCTTTTCATTGTAGCTGAGTCTGAACTCTCAAAGTCTCCCACATTTCAGGAGCCTTCTCTGCTATGTATCCTGGAGGCTCATCTTTGATGTGTTTCTAACGCAGGAGTTGCCCAAGTATCTGAGGATTTTATATAGATTTTTGGGACTCCTTCTCCATATCTTCTTTTTCTCAGTTATCCTGCTCACACTCCCTAAGTCCTAAGTATTTGCCTGACTTGTGTTCTGGTTTTGTTCCCTTTACCCACAGAAATGTTCACTCTTTGTTTAGGCTCTATTTACTTTGGCCATGGTTGGAAAGAAACCAAAAAAACTGAAGTGAATGTACAGTTCATCTCATTGCTCCTTTTTTTCAGTGATCGTTACCCTAGCCCCTAGCTTGGTTGCTGCCCAGTGCCTCCCATTGCTTTATCGATTTTTTTTCTAATTTTTATAGTTAAGTCCAATACCAGCTATTGTTCTATGGCTAGGACATTTAAAGGCTTAGAATTAAAAAAACTTTTTTAAATAATGATATTAGACCTTTAAGAGTGGATTATTTATTTATTTTATTATTCTTTTGGCAAAATTAATATTCATTAATATCAAAAAGTGCTTAGTATAGTTTCTCTTTTAATATATGTACTCAAGATATGTTAACAGAATCCATAAAGGATCTTTAAAAATTCACATAAGTTCATGCAAAACAATTTATTAGGAGCCTCCAGGAGCTTGGCACAGTCAGTAGTTCCCTGATCTGTAAACACTTATAAATTCTTATTTTCTTTTCAATTAGAAATGTATTTCAAACACCAAATAACTCAATACAGTGATTTGGTTAAAATATATTTTATTTTACATATATTTGAAGAATTAGTAAAACCAAAAAAAAAAAGTAAATTAGTAAAACTAAAATTTTAATGTGAAGTCATTTGTCTTTGACATTGTATCAAAAATTATTAAAGCTAGGCTAGTCATTTAGTTAAGTATAATGAAACTCTTGATGGTTGCCGAAATCTGACATTTAAGTAAGGCTTCTTTAATTATTTCTTTAATAAAAGAATTGCCCAACCTTATAAAACCTTAGTTTTATACTCAGTCTTTACTTTTTATTAGCAATATTTTGGTCATTTAAAAAATATTAAACAACATGGCATCTGACTTTATATGCCACAACAAGAATTAAGGCCTACATAAATTTTTTAATTAAAGAATTTTAAACTGACAGAGGGTATTTATGATAGAGAGGTATAGAATGAATACCCTCTATGAGACTATTTAATGGCCTTACTAAGATACTTAGTTTTACGTCTTTGTAAAATTCATTGCTTCATTGCAGCAAGCTAGCGATGAGGAAAAATATAGGGTAATATCAGTCCTTAGGGGTTTACCTTGATGACATAATCCCAAGTGGTAATGACCTCACAGAATTTGTTGTTATTTTTTTGCCAAGTCTTTGTTTCTTAAATAGATCTAACGTAATTTCTACACTTAAACATGACACCTAAGTTTGAGGGTATAACTGTATTTGACCTGGCAGTAGTAGAAACATTATTTTGAGGTACTATCTACTATAGATGTAACAGTTTTTTTGAACTTCAAAGAAGATAGAAATTCAAAATTATTTGGAATTGTCACTGTATGTCACAAGTATGATTATTTTAGAAAATTTTGGGTTTGTTCAAAAGTAAAGTAAAATACTTTTAATGGGCTTTTGATAAGATAGATCTTAAATTGCTCAGATGGGCATGATAATGTATATGCATCTAAACTGCATCTTTCTGCGTTTTCTCAATCTCTTTTGGCACTTTAAAAATCTCCAAATAATTTCCTTCCTCTTGTTTTACTTTTTAAAATCTGCAGGATGGACATGTAGAAGTAGCACGTTTGCTTTTGGATAGTGGTGCTCAAGTGAACATGCCTGCAGATTCATTCGAGTCTCCGTTAACACTAGCTGCCTGTGGAGGACATGTTGAATTGGCAGCTCTACTTATTGAAAGGGGAGCAAATCTTGAAGAAGTTAATGATGAAGGATATACTCCCTTGATGGAAGCTGCTCGGGAAGGACATGAGGAGATGGTGGCACTACTTTTAGCACAAGGTAAAGTAGTTTTACTTCTTTAATAAAAAAATTAATTTCTTTTTGATGTTTTGTGTCAGTATCAATGAAGTTTACTACAACTAAAATATTTTTTTGCACCGATGGACTGAACCCCAAAAGCAGAGATGATAGAGATGATTATTATAATTCAAAACAATTACTTTAATTATTTTGTAACTAGTTTTGTCTATTTTTATGCTCTCCCCAGGAGCAAATATAAATGCCCAGACAGAAGAAACCCAAGAAACAGCTTTGACTTTGGCTTGCTGTGGAGGATTTTCTGAAGTTGCAGACTTTCTGATTAAGGCAGGGGCTGATATAGAACTTGGCTGCTCCACACCTCTCATGGAGGCTTCTCAGGAAGGACACCTGGAGTTGGTTAAATATTTACTGGCTGCCGGTACGTGGCTTTAAAAATGCCTTTTAGAAAAAGATTTTTATGTTGCTTTCATAAGTTTAACAATTAGACTTAACTTTTTCATATCTTCCAAAGTTGAAGGACAGCTGTGCCACAATTTAACTGCTATTCTTAGGCTCCTAACTCTCTAAAAATGTCATTTTGTAAAACTTTTTTTTTAAATATATTTTTATAGATTTCAGAGAGGAAGAGAGGGAGAGAGAGAAACTTCAATGATGTGAGAGAATCACTGATCGGCTGCCTCCTGCATGCCCCCTACTGGGACCGAGCCCAAAACCTGGGCGTGTGCCCTTGACTGAAACTGAACCCAGGACCTTTCAGTCCCGAGGCCGACGCTCTATCCACTGAGTCAAACCGGGTAGGGCTCTAAAAATGTCATTCAATAAATTTTTTCATATTGTTACTAATGGTTGCTTAGTGACCATAGGCTTCTTTTGTTTGTTTTTTTAAGACTGAACTTTTTCTTGTTAATTCTCACCTGAAAGTATTTTTTTCCCCCTTGCTTTTCAGAGAAAGTGGAAGGGAGGTGGAAAGAGAGACAGAAACATTGATGTGAGAGGCGCTTTCCCTTCCCTGGAGCACGCCTTTCTATTTCCCTCCCGTGCCCACCCCCCACCCCCCAGGCACGTTACTATTAGCTTCCTCATTCAAGCTTCAAGAGCCCTTCCTTTACCTCTATAACTTAATTCCTAAGCCCATTTTTTCTAGAAATTACTTTTTCTGCCTCTGTAGTTTACCCAATAAATGTTCTCTTACAAAAAAAAAGAAAAGAAATACATCAATATGAGAGAGCCACATTGCCCAGTTGCCTCTTGTAGGTACCCCGACCCGGGCGGGGGGGGGGGTGGGGGGGCAAACCCACAACCCAGATACGTGCCCTTGCCCAAAATCAAACCCGAGACCCATTGGTGTGTGGGCGAACACTCTAACCATTGAGCACACCAGCCAGGACTTAACTTTAAAAAAATATGTTTTTATTGATTTTAGAGAGGAAGAGGGGGAGGGAAGAGAGAGAAAAAGAAAGTGAGAGAAACATCGATGTGAGAGAGAAACATCAATTAGTTGCTGTGACCAGCAGTTGAACCCCTTACCTTTTGGTGCACAGGACACCGCTCAACCAACTGAGCCACACCAGCCAGGGCCATTGGCTTCTTATTGGTCTTCTATCTCCAGTGAATGGTTTGTGGCTTCTGGAAAAGAGAGACTAACATCTAGTCTCTCTGCTACTAAGAGGAGGTGGGGATGACATTATAGAGATAATTTGGTACCTTTAAGCCTGCTCATTTCTTGACATTTCTGAGTTTACACACACACACACACACACACACACACGTGGGAGTTTTATTTTTTTGCAAAAGTACTTACTATTAAAATAATTTGCCTTTATACATTGTTAAGCAATAATACAGCAAAGTAAGAATATACCAAATGAATTGATTCAGGTAGATGTAAACCTTTATATAATATAATTATCCATATATGTTATATTTGTTTAAAACTATGTAAAGGAAAATATTTAGCAAAATTTGATTCATCCTTTTTGGACTTTCACTGTTAAACATTAATTTGAATATAGCCCAGCCTCAATTTTTCTTTTGAATTATTATTGAAATAATTTCTTAATCCAGATGGTTAATAGTTCAGATGATTATTTAGATTTTGAATTAGTGCACAAACTGACTATACAAGCAGATCTCTTCCCTGACTCAAATACTATTAATCACTATAATTAGTATATGCATTATTCAGTCACTGTTCCTTCATCATTTTCAGTAACATTGTCCCATTCAAGAGTCTTTCTCATGTTAGTTACACCTCAATTAAAAAATAGTCTTTCTGCCTGGCTGGTGTGGCTCAGTGGTTGAGCTTTGACCTATGAACCAGGAGATCATGGTTCGATTCCTGGTTAGGGCACATGCTCAGATTACAGGCTTGATCCCCAGTGTGGGGCATGTAGGAGGCAGCTGATCAATGATTCTCTCTCATCATTGATGTTTCTATCTATCTCTTCCTCTCCCTTCCTCTCTGAATCAATAAAAATATATATTTTTTTTAAAAATTATTGAATATCAAACATTCTGCTAATTATTAATTATACCTGGTCCCTGTATAGTAAATTATTAAACACATTATTATAGATATAGAAACTGATGCACAATCATGTTTCATAATTTCCCTAATGTATCTCAGCTAATAAGTGACAGAGTCAATACTTAGAACTCCTAACATTTTTTATTACATCACCATTGATTCTCATATTGAGCTACTTTTGCTAATTTGAAGCATAGTTTCCAGAACTATCTTAGATATTTGAGAATCACTTTTTTATATGATCACTACCTAAAAAATTTTTTTTCTAGATTAAAGTATGATTTATTTACGTAAAGTTCTTCTTTTAGCACTAAAGAAAAATCCAATAGGTCTTTTTAAAAAATCTTTATTGTTGAAAGTATGTCTCCCATTTTTCCCCCATTGACTCCTTCTAGCCCGCCTCTGCCCCCAATATGTCTTTTAATACATTGCCTACACAATTTTCTAAAAATGAAAAACTTTTTTTTATGGCATTTTTCCACACCATATAGGAAATGTAATTTAATGAATCCTAAGAACCCATTACCAGCATTAGCAATTTTTAATTTATGGCTAATCTCATTTCATCTATATGTCCTTCCATCCCCCATTATTTTTATAAAATTATTTTGATTTAAAATAAACATTTAAAAAATTTTTGCTGAGATAAAATTATATTGTGAAATGCTTACCATAATAAGTGTAGTTAACATCTGTCACCATACATAGTTACAAAAATATTTTTAAATTAAAATTTTAATTTTTAAATGTG